GAGCAGCCCAGCGACAGCAGCTTTGTCCTGATGGACGTTGTCAAAGGCAAGAACTCCTCGCGCCATCTGCTTTTCATTATAGGTCTCTACCGTGTAGATGGCTTAGGAGAAGGGTTTGCGGGAGTTCACTTCGGCACCGGTCTTTCACGTGCGAGCAGCCTTGAACTTCAGGTGGCTGTAACTAAAAATGGCTTTAGCTGTAAATAAAAGCCACAGAAGTCTCCCTCTGACCAGCTTCAGAAGAGTCGCGTTGTGCTGGTCCTCTTGAGGGTGACTGAGCCGCACGCGCTTCCCACTTGCTCTTAAGCATCTGGTTGCATCTGAGCAAACCTTGAAGAAAAGGTCTCATTTTGGAAGAAAGACTTCTCCATAAAGGATGGCGAAGAGCAAAACATCTGTGCGAGTCCTTACAAAGACATTAAAATTCAGGAAGTATCATGAAGAAATGGCGAATGCACATGGTGATTTGAGCAAGGCTCAGGAAATCTTTCCTTCGTAACCAATGACGAGTGGAAGCAGAGGGCTGGAAAATCAAAGCTGAATTGTGTGTGGGTGTCTGGATACAAAAGGATAAATCTAATGAAAATCTCCAGCCAAACTGAGAAATCAGAGCAAGGCCTTTACAACGCCATCGTCATCAACACCAACGTGGTGAAGATTGAAGGGGCAAGGCTGCCATTTCCAATTGACCATTGCCATGGAAACAGCCTCCCAGTGTCAACAGTTGGTGGAGCAGGATGTAGGAAGCAAGGCAAGCTTTCTTTCCCATCAGCAGGGCGATAGGACAAAGGACCCACTCATGCTAGAGTCGGCGCGTGTAGGATTTTTAAAACATTTTGTGTTGGTCAGGAATGGCCGAGGGCAGGACTGATGCAAGGGTTTGCAGCGGGCTGTCCGAGATACATCACGAGGGAGAGGCCTTGATTATTCCAAAGATTCCAGCTCTGTCAGTCTATCCAACTTCTTCATGTCAGATGGGAGATGACATTGTTGTTACTCAAAAAAAAAAAAAAAAAAAAAAAAAAGGACCCTTACCTGTCAAAATGGGGCAAAGCAGCAGCAGGTAGGGTATAAGGAATGGCTTCATTATGCAGTGTATTTATAGATCTATGTGTAAGCCATGTTGTACATATAGGATACAGAAGAGCAAGAGCTTTGAAATAGAAACAGGAAGCTTAAAATGAAGTGGCAAAAAGGAATGTCTAAGAGCATTCAGGAAGGGTGATGTGATCGGATTTAAATGTGGGAAGGTAATTTAGGGACAGGTTTTGCTTAGGGTAGAGGAAACCACAGAGAGGGACACGGTCAGGGTTTTAGCCATTGATGGTGTTTGGTCTAGAGTGAAGGAGAGACAGCAAGGTAGGCTTGAGGCGATGGGGAGGAGGAAGATGCCTGCAAGACTGGAAGACTGCAGACCTGGTAGTTGTGGAGGACTGAATACCACCAGCCATGGAAGAAGGCAGAAATAGCCAGGGTGTTGTAAGAAACGTGGACAGTCATGTTTTCCTGTGTGCGAGTTTCCTTTGGCTTCTCGACTGCCTTTTTGCTGGTAATCTAGGTCATTTCTTACTCCTTTGCTCATGATGGTCAGACAAAGTCCTGACAGGGCTATTGAATGGGGAGCCACTAGGCCAATATCAGAAGGTCATTGTTACTGTCTTTTCTTCAGAAGGGAAGAAAGAGAAGAAAGGTGTGAGCCCACGCTCACAAAGAGGTTGGAGGCATTTCTGCTAGGAGCAACATTAGCACTCGGAGTTGTGGGCCTCCCTCCAGCCTCACTTCTCCAAGCACCCAGTGAGATACCAGCAGCTCTCCCCTGCTCCGCTGCCTCGATGCTGCAGGCACTGTGCAGAGGGTGCATGGCAAGGAGTACGTTGCTGCTGTAATGCAACAGCTCTTAGACCCGTTCGTGGTACCAATGGAAAGGAAAATGTTGGAGCAGTTCACAGCTTTCATTTTAAATTATAAGGAAATGCAGGAGGAGTCTGAACAGAAATCCATATTAAAATACTTCCCAGTCTTTTTTCCTTTTTTTTTTTGTGTTCCTACATTATTACTATATTTAATCAGACATCGTTTTACAGTGGTTTCACTTTTTGAACCGCTAAGAAACAGGAAGAGTGTGTGGGTATGCTTTTTATTAACCTTCCTTTCATAATGCACTTTCTTCCCTATAGAAATGTTCTTTCTTGCTGATTCATTATGTGTCAGGAAGCCAAGCGTGACATGTTAAAAGCCATCTTGATAGTATTTGGTATTCGGTACTGACAACTCACCAGCTCGCAGGAGTTTTTCTTTAAAAGGGGGAGGGATAAAATCTGCATATTGGCTCTGCCAAGATAGTGGATAATTTGCATTGAGCATCCAGACATTATTTTTTTGTAATCTGTCACCCTTCACTGGCTTTTTATTTTATAATCTTCATAACATACGGGGACCATAAGCAGTAAAAAAAGTCGCACCATGTGAACAGAAGCTGGAGCCAGCCAGGGCCCTTAAGGATCAGCCAGAGCAAGGCTAGGGAAGGACCCATCCTCAGCAGCAATAGATCCATGATGCGACTTTGTTATACTGGAAGGACCTGAAAATAATAGGCCTGATATTATAAGTATCCAGCTATAAAGCTGTCTGTTATTTCTTGGCTTCCAGCTCACAGCTGGATTCAGACTTACGAACCATCATCGTGAATACACAAGCCATGAGACCCAATTCACTTGCCAGACTTGCCCCCTGTAATATGCTGCTCGTCATGGAATTTAGCAGCAGTAGGGAGCAAGCTCTGACACACTGCTGTAAAACAGGCTTTCTGTACCTGGTAACACCTCTGGGAGCTCGCTGCTTTAGCAAAGCGTTTCTGAAGTAACCAGGAGTAACTTATGCAAAGGTTCTCAGGAATAATTACCATTCAGTAACTTTATGTAGTATAGCCAAAAGTGTTCCAAATACGTTACTGCATTTTAATCTCACTGTTGATATATTTCTTGCAAAGCTGCTATTTGAGCATCACTTACGAGGCATGACATCACATGTGACAGAATAATGTACCTAGAATAATAAAATGAATGTGAGGGGAGGTGCTGAGGTGGTAAGCGTTATACAAACTTAAGCTTAGACATAATAACAGGTACTGTTAAGAGGAAATTCAAAATTGTGAATGTACTAGAAAGCAAAATCTGTTGGGTACAATAACAGTAAATGTGGTTGTCAAGCAAGCATAGTGGGACTCATTACTAAACTAACTGGAGCACTTTAAATAGTGATATGAGAAAGAATACTTGTAAACCTTATTTACAATATTTCTGCAAGTTATCCGGCCTGGCCAATAAAAATACAAATTCTGTCATATAAAGCTAGACCAAGATGACATGCTGTTAGGCAAAGAAACATCAAGGGGTGGTGAGGCAACCCAGCAACAGGCGATAAAAAAAGTGATAAAACTGCTTCACAGAGCAGATCCAGGAGCTCTGTTCCACCGGCTGTACGACGTACTAAATACGCAGCATCGAAGAGGAGAACCAGCGATTCACATGATCTCCTGCCTCTTTGATGACAGCCATTAGCTGTCATAAACGTGCCCTCGTTTGCTCCTGATCTTCCTGCATGAAGCACCTTACAGCTCGTTGCTCCAGAGCCTGCCCATACTTCTGGTTGTATAGTCATTATCGGCCTGATGTGCTGTTGCCAGCGTTTCACAACCTCACATCAAGGACCTTCACCGTGAGGGGTCTGTGTATTTAGAGCATAATCCTACAGAGGTGAAGTCCGTGGGACTTTTAACTTTGATTTGGTATATTCTGGTTAATACAACACGCAAGGAACATGCTTTGCTAGAGCATGACAGGGACACTCCTGACAAGAAGCAGCTCTTCAGGCCCGAGCTGCCAGGCACGGGGACATCTTGGAAATGATGCTGCCACCAACCAGCGCTCTCCAAAATCTGCAAGTGAGCTCTACTGCACACGAAGGATAAATAAATAATGTGCACATATAAATTGCTTGGAAAGCCATTAAAGGCAACAGAAGATGCTTTGAGTCAGTTGTTATGGAGAAAGTATTTTATCAAATGCTATTTCCAGTGTAAGTCAGGTTGATAATACCACTATCTTAGGAAATTCTGCATCTAAAACGTTCTGAGAGGGAGCCTTTATTCAAAGAATTTATGTGTGTGCAGTTTGGCATTCTTCTTTAAATAGCCAACAGGCCAAGAGAGTCTCCAGGAACAGAAACCTTCAGTTTGCACGTGTTCTGCAATGTCGCCCTCCTATCCGTTTTCCCAAATTATTGAAAAGTTGTCCAGGTCCGAGGAGGAACTCATGTAGCGTCTGTTAGCGACTCCCAAAAGTGAGTCAGTCTTCACTGCTGCCAACCAGGATCTGACAGTGAAGACCTGGCAAAAGGTTTGTATTTGCTATTACACTGGCATATTTTCAGCTGCTGATTTTATTGTAAAACTAACAACTTCTGTTTTCATGCCAGACAGAAAAAGATTCCAAAATGCTCCTTGGAATTGTACTGCTTTACTTCAGTGAAACACAAGTACTTTGTTGATTTCAGGTTTTTAATGAAAGCTAACACGCACTGTTCAGATAGTCCTTACAATTCAGCTTAGAGAGCCACCATTAAGGGCAAACTGAAATAGAGAAAGATGTTCTACTGAGGTTTATTCCTCTGTATGTACCTAATCTAGGAATGGCATTTGGAAGCCTGTGGATACTAGGGAGCAGAGAATAGTGAAACGATAACCGTTACTGTTGCTTTTTATAGGCCGCCTTCAGTTCTGACAAAAAGCAGCAGGGATGGGGTTTCGCTGGT